GATTGGAAATGGATTCCTGCCTCAGGAGAGGGTTAGACTAAAAAACTTTCAAGGTTTCTTCCAACTCTATTATTCTGTTCTGATCTCCAGAGTTTAAATACTAGGCTTTTTCCTACCACCTTTCTGAATAAACCAAAACTTGGCCCCCTTTTTGGTCTTGAAGGGCAATTATTGTTTGCTGGCAGAATTCAGGTAGTCCTCACATTATGCTAGCAATTGGGACTGGAAATTCCATTACTAACCATTGCAATTGTAAAGCATGTTTCACATGATTTCAGTGCTTAGTCATAGCAGTCCCAGTTGCTTTCATAACCCCAAGACTATGTAGGTCATTAAGTGAGGATCTTGTGACTAAGAAGTGGGAAGAAGTGGGAATCTCAGGCCAGCAAGTCTGTGGATGAGAGCTAGGGTGGGCAAGTGCCACGAGGAGTGCCATGAGCAGGCACTACAGAGTATACCAATGCCTTAGATGAATAGGTGGATAAAAAAGCAGCAGAAGCCATTATAACTTTGTGGGTTTGCTGAATGAGTGGTCATAACCTCAGGACTACCTATAGTGCTGTCTAACCTGATAATGGCTTGCATCTGTTTATAACAGAAACTATTCTTTAAACACTCATTATTTTAAAATATGAATTTGCTTCTTGTTTTCTTCTACTTTCTTTCTTTTCCAAATAATCCTATTTAAGTTATTCTGAGATGTATTAAAAGGAAACATGCAAGTAATGGCAAATTTATGTGACAAATCTTAATTATATTGCATTTACACTGCTTATTTTGGCTTTTGACAGGCACGGTTTCTCCTATCTAAAGTGAATCCTTCTCAGACGCATAATAATCTGTATACATGGGGGGGACAAGTAAGTAATGATGTGTTTGGTTTTGTATCTATTGTGCATGCACTAACAATTTATGACATATATTACGTAAGGAGCAGGAGTTTGTCACTTGATTTTGACCAGTTAGCAGGGTTGGGCTATGTTAACTGCAAAATTCCTCTGAGCCTTCAGTGTTTGAAAAATAGACAATAAATTATATGGTTTATGGGCCAAAACTGCATAAACTAGGCTTGGAATATTCATTCATTCATTCATCTATTTAAATCTTAATTTTAAAACTTAGAAGTAAATAAAAGTACAATAGGAGTTAACATGGTTATTCATTATGTAAATTATGCTTTAGTTTTCCAATTTTCCCATATTTTATGTTGGTTCAAATTTTGTTTCTAAACTGTAATTTCTTATTCTAGGAATCTGGTGCTCCAATATTAACAGATGACGTTAGTCTACAAGTATTCATGGATCATCTAAAAAAGCTGGCTGTATCTAGCGCATCCTAATTTTGATACTAAAGTCTTAACAATCAATAATCGTATTAAATCATGCTGTTGATAGACTACAGTCTACCAAGAAACTAATAACATTCCTTTCATTTTTTAAATCAAAGTTTTAATTAGCCCATATAAAAAGGGAAAATTTACATTTTAGATTTAACTTATTGATATACTTGTCTTTATTCTGCAAATTCTTCATTTTCATGTTCTTATACCAAGATTATAATCTGCATTTATACTGTCCTGCATAGTTCATTTTCTGCTCTTACAACTAAGCAAAATAAAATTTGAGAATAGTGTTAATCCTTAGTGTATTATGTTCTCTACCACTGATGGGGACAGGGTGGAAGGTTTACCATTCCTAATTTTCTGGTTTGGATAAATGTAATGAATTAGTATTGCCAGAGTATTAACAGTTTTTTATTACATAAGTAGATATGTAAATTGTACAGGTTGATATAAATGGTTAAATGTATGATAAATTGAGGAATTATTTGAATATTAAAGTAATATAAGATGCAAAATAATCTCAGCAGTCACACAAGATTCTGTTTTGTAATAAAATATCTTGAGTAGATATACAACATTCTTCAGCTATGAGGAAAAGAGAAGACAGCAAAAAACAGTTACACAATTGACAAGATTTAGTGAATACAACCATTCTATAAATCTTGTCAATTGTGTAACTGTTTTTTGCTTTTTTCTCTTTTTCTCATAGTTGAAGAATGTAGTATATCTATTCAATATAACATCTCCCTAACGTCTGTTAGATTGTTCAATCTACTTCTAATTATCCCATTTTGATTGAGTTAGTTTAGAATTATCAGTGACCAAGAAAAATGGAAAATGTCAATATTTATCCCAATACCAAAGAAAGGTGATACGAAAGACTGCTCCAACCCAGTGAACCATAGCCTTGATACTATAGTGAGTAAAATTACCTTTAAGATAATCTAGCAATGTTTGAATCCAACTGTCAACACAGAACTGCCTGTTGTATAAGCAAGATTTTGGAAAGGAAGAAGAACGTGTGGTCATATTGCCAGCCTGTGCTGGATGATGGAAAAAGCAAAGGAATACCAAAAAGACACCTACATGAGCTTCTTGACTACATAAAAGCCTTCGACTGTGTTGGCCATGACAAGCTCTGGAACTGCCTCAAAGAACTGGAAATATCACCACACCACATCCAGCTCATTCAATCATTGTACTCTGATCAGGCAGCACTTGGAAGAACTGAAATGTCTGGCATGAATAACATCTGGACGAGTAAAGACATTAGCCTTACAGCCAAATGCAGATTAGTTATCAAAATAATTTTTCCAATTGCTACTTATGGCTATGAAACTAACTCTGATAAAGGGAAGCTAGGAAAAGGGTGGATGCCTTTGAACTGTATGCTGGAGGCGATTATTGTGCATCCCAACTGCAAAAATAACAAAGTCATAGACTGAACCACACCAAAAAATATCCCTTGAAACCAAGATTGCCAAACTGAGGCTGTCATACTTTGGCCATGTCATGTGAGCTGAGTGATCAGCGGAAAAAGAAGGCCACCCTACTACCCCACTAGTTGGACACTATAAAGGAGAAGGCCACCCTAGTACCCCACTGGTTGGACACTAAAGATACCAGGATTACCATGGCGGATCTGAAGGAGGCAGTGAGAGACAAGAAGGTCATGGAGAGTGTTGATCCATAGAGTGGCCAAGAGTCAGATAAAGCTGAATGGCTGACGATGATGAGCTTACTCAAACGTTAATTTTAAGCTTTTTTTTTACATTACATAAAATTTAAACTTGTGTACATACGTTGCCTCTTTAACAGTAGGTAATCACTTTGCCTTTGAAAATAGTTGAGTACATGTATTATTATTAGCATTTATTATGGTAAGCAGTAATATAGGTTGCTTCTTTTCATCTTGATGTGTGACCCCTGCTGTTACAATTTAGTATTTTTTTTGCATGTGCTATTACAGCTTTATGCCAACAAATATAGCATAGTGTGATATATCTCTTCATAGCAGCTAATGTCTCTTACCTTCAGTGGCAATGGCTAAACAAAGCGTAGACAAAAAAAGATTGTAAGGAGATGAAGATATCTGGAACATTTCTTTATATAACAAAAGAATGGTTCTATAGATAGAGAAGCATTTTCTTGAGAGGCTGATTATTTCAATTCAGCTATTACCTGGTAAAGAGCAAGAACATTTGTTATTTTAATCAATGTCAAACTTTTAAGTTTTTGGCTTTGTAACGGCTTCCAAATATTTCTCCATTACTCATTACACCAGAGGTCTTCAAATGTGGGCTTTTATGACTTGTAGACTTCAACTCCCAGAATTCCTCAGCCAGGCATGCTGGCTGAGGAATTTTGGGAGTTGAAGTCTACAAGTCATAAAAGGGCCAAGTTTGAAGACCCCTGCATTACACCATCTGTTACCTGGAACACTGCAATGTGCTTTACATGGACTGTCCTTAAAGACTATTTTGGAAGGCACAGTTGCTCCAGTGGAGCAGGAAATGTATTGATCTGAGCTCTGGTGGCACAGTGGTTAGAATGAAGTATTGCAGGCAAACTGCCCACAGCTAGGAGCTCGAAATTGACTCAGCCTTCCATCCGAGGTCACTAAAATGAGGACCCAGATTGTTCAGGGCAATATGCTGACATTGTAGGTCACCTGGAGAGTGCTGTAAAGCAAGTTTAAGTGCTATTGCTATTGCATTGTAGCTGCCCAAAGTCACTTTGGATAGCAAAATGGATGGCATATAGATTTAATAATTTTTAAAAATGTTTCACATGCTTTGATATGCCCATGTGATACCACTGCTCCATAAACACTACTGGTTGGCAGTGACCTTCTGGATACAATTCAAGGTACAGCTTATCAAGTATAGGTAGTTCTAGATATCAAAGATATCAAACTGGTGGACAGCTTCTTCCTTTTAGGATCAACTATCAATAGTAAAGAACAATGCAGGTTGGTTTCAGAATTAGGTATCCTAGGTACAGTTATAAGTCTGAATCAAAGACTTTGGAGAACTTGTAAACTTAACACTTAAACTTACAAACTTTAAACTTAAATTTATATTTTTATTGTGTGCTAATAGAAAGGTCTGCAAACTTCTCCAGCAGGTTGTATAAAAAACATTATGGGATTGTCTGCAAAAAGATTAACAATCTGAGAACATTTGATACTGTTCTACACTAAAGCGATTTGAAGATTCTTTCATTGAGGATGGAAATCAATCACGGCCGGAAATTGAGTGAGGGCGTTTTTATCCAAACCATTTTTTTCAATCTTGGTAACGTTGAAGTTCAACTCTCAGAATTCCTCTCCCCAATAGATGGCCAGGGAATTCTGGGAGTTGAAGTCCACACATTTTTAAATTTGCCAATCTTGAGAAACCGTTAAAACGCTGACATCCAAGCTACCCAGTTCGGATTGGGAACCCTGTTAGCTGGGAATTTTGGAAGTTGAAGTCCAGACATCTTAAAAGTTGCCAAAATTGAGAACTTCCGGTTTACGGGAACATCTTCAGAAAAGCCGGTTCGACCGGGGAAATTGAGTCGCGTTTCTTAAATGCGGTGGGGGAGGGCTACCGAGGGCCCACCACGATTGGCTTCAAGATAGGATATGGCATCAGAGGAGGCGGAGAAAACAAACCGCGAGGTTGCGTAACAGCGGAAGCGGGGAGCAAGTTCTCTGCTTCGCTCGATGTTGATGTAGGGTGCGAACGTAGCGGCCGCTAAAAGGACGGTTGTCCCCTTGGACGCAGAGATGACGAGTGACAACCTCAAGGCGCAGCGGGCCGCCCTGTGGTCGCGTCGATTCGCTCTGCTATACGCGATGGGAGTGTGGACGGTTATTGGGTATTTCGTTTCCCGGTCAGTGCGTTTCAGGGAGATCCCACTGCAGGAGAAGAAGGATCTGCCGCCACCACCGCCACTCGGTATATCCCGAGCGCCGTCTGTAGATAGATCTTGGGCCCTGGGGAGGTATTTTTTCGCCTCCGAGTGTTTTCTACGGTTGAATTATTTTGTTGGCTAAACCATTGTTTATGGTTAATTGAATAGCTTGCAACAGTAACAGGGTTCTAGACTTCATCCATAAGTCCCAAACTGCCGTGGTTAAACTCATGCCACACGAACCTAAGCGAAATCGTCCGCATTGTGGCTTAGGGCGATAGGCGTTCCTACTTAGAGAAGATTTTTGAACATTACACTCCTTCTGGTAGGAAACAGCTTCTTTATAAAACAAGTGAAATTGAATGGCTTTCTCGGACCATTGACTTCCCTCCAACGTAGTACGCTAAGCCATAATTGGTCTTAACTGGCGTTATTCGAATAATAACTGGCCTTAGACAATCCTGAATTGCAAGAAACAGTATACAGAGGTTGATAATATACAATGAAGTGCGAATATGTGAAGCTAGTTACAAACATGCCAGGCCTGCTATTCTGGGTTAGCTTTAGATAAAGGCATTCGGGGAGGGAAGAGCAAATCTGAAAAAAATTAGGGAAAATGTTTATTTTCCTGAAGACTTTTGCCTTTTTCCCCATTAAACTGAAACATTTCAGATAGATTAAAAACTAAAATGAAAATTTTAGAATAATAGATGCAACAAGAAGAGGTGTTCAGAATTTGAATACGGTAGACAATGCCTAAAGAAACAACCTATGCAGGGAAACTGCTTGTTCTTATTTCCTGAAAATAAAGATATGTGGTCAGAGACATATAATTTTATATGATTTTGATAGTTTCTTCTGTTTTAAACTATTATTTTTGGCCAAACAATATTAAGTGATCTTAAGGTTGCAGTAGCAGTTTACAGTTTTGGTGTTGACAGATTTAAAATGGATTAGGGTAAATTAGTAAACCCAAGTGTCTCAATGAATCATATGTTTACATTTAACATGCTAAGCACAATACAGTAATTTTAAGTAACCCCAGGTATGCATAAGGCAGTTTTTTATGTTCTAAGACTACCAAACTGAATTTGAGTAAAGGGTGGTAAGAGAATTAATATATTTTATATTTAAAATTTCTCCCCAAACTCTTATTTTTTCCTGGAAAAATGTTTAATAAAAAGAATCTCTAATTTTGAATTATAGTTTATATCTCATGGCTCAAAATATGCTAATATGCAAACTTGCACATTGTAATTTTAGGTTAAGCATATTCAAGAAATGCTGTATAATGAATAATTGATTTTGTACATTTTAATGTGTCATTTTTTTTATTAAAGCAATGCAGATGAAGTTAATAAGACTTTGAAACTTCATTTGTTTTGTAAAAATAGAACTCATTCTTGTATAGTCTGACCTCCTAGAATTCTTATCTTTATCCATTTAGATGACAACGAATATTCCAGAAGTGTTTGACAAGAGCAGAAGATCAAGACTGAAACTGGACTCACATTAACGGCAAAAACTAGTTCATCTGTTTTTGTGCCATATTCTTCTCATTTGCATAATCATGCTGTCAATTTTTTATAATAATACTGGGAAAGAAAAGTAAATTATATTGAAAAAAAGAGATGTATCACAGTGTCTATAACTTATTGAAGAGTTGCATGAGATCTGACTTTGAAATAACAGTAATTTGAAAGTAGTATGTTCTGTCAGCCTATTATGAGACTTTAGCCCTGCTTCACTTTCATGCATTTGAATATATTGTATATAATTTTATATATTTTCTTTTGTTTATAATTTATTTTTAATATCTTTTCCTGAAATTCTGCTAGCATGTGTTTGAAATCATAAAGACTAAATGTGATTGATTCCTTATTTCCTCCTACAGAAACCATAAATATTTTTCCCATAGAGCTTAGTGTTTATGATAGCTATCTTTGTTTTCAAGGATAGACAATTTCTGTAGCCCTTACCTCTGATGTTGAAATTGGGAAAAGGTGTTAGTTTCTGAATATAGTAGAAGTAACTTTTGATCTTGCAGGTTTGAAATTCTCCTGATTGCCAGATACAATTCAGACTACACATTGCTGATTTCATTACAAGGAATACATTTAACTTTTTTGAAGAAGAGTTTTAAAAGCTATATGTGATATTTTGGATTGTTTTTTTAAAACTATGGTGGCATATTCCTTATCATACAGAGTTTCGGGAAGGCTTGTTTTCTTCACCCCTACCTATTTCATTTTTCCACACACTTGTAATGCAGACATGTCAAACTCGTGACATCATGTGACGTCGTGCAACGTATTGGGACAGTTTTGCCATTGCTGGCAATGGGGTGGTTGCGGCTTCCACGTGACACGTCTGGCCTGCGGGCTGGCAGTTTGACACCCCTGTTGTAATGGAACATTTTATAAATGTTTTGTCTCTAAGTCTGAATAAGACAAAGTGTAGTTCAACAACGTTACATAGGAAATGTAGTTAAGATACTCCACCTTAATATTTTGCACAAGGTCATCTCTAACTGGTTTAGTATGCTATATAATGCACAAGGTATTTTGCTTGATGTGAACGTTAATATGTAAAAGCATAAGAAAAAGCTGAAGCAAATATATCTGGAAAAACTCTGAAGTTTGCCTAATCATGATAGGTTTATGAGTTCTATTGCTACTTTGTGCCTTTGAGCATTTGCTTGATTGATGGAAGCTGGCATTTTTAGAATTTACAAATCTCAAGATAATGGTATTCAGTGTATTTTGGACTTCAGACATTTTGTTTTAAACAATGATACAAGCAACATGGAAATGTGAAGCTGATTTTTCAGTGTTGTGTAATTATTAACAAACAATATGACTTTAATATAAAGCTATACATTACAACGTATAAAAAGGATGAAAAGTTTGGGAACCTGTAGACATGACAAATATATTACTTGTAACTCTTCATCACCGCAGCTCTCTGGAAAAAAGACTAGTTCAGTGGCAGACAAATGGTATAAAATATAGCATTATAAAGCAAACCTAAACTATATATGCTCCCCAAACTGCATCTCCAATACCAGATTGCTTAAAAGCTATCTTTACTGAACTTTGTCAATTCTAATGACCACAAAGCAGTTTTTTATATTGTATTAACTACAGTTTATAGTTTTTAAAAACTACCAGTTTAAAAGAAAAAAAAAACAGATTGAATCTTGTTTTTCCTAAGATCACACAAATAATTAGAGTTTTACAAATTTGATAAATAAAATCTGCCAGGCTGGTACTAGCTCACCATTTCTTACGGTGATTAATGTTTCCTTCAGTATTTTATATTTTATTAGTTATCTTTGTAAATTTTTATATATTAAGAATTTTATATTCTCAAGGGAGATAGCTTTTTAACCTTTATTAAAAACGCCTTCCTTGGATACAAAAGAACTCATACAGTTGTCTCAAATTTTCCATTCTTGAATAAAGAGATAAGATAAAATAATGACCTTGTAACTCCAGATAGAGAATAACAGAGTTGGAAGGGACCTTGAAAGTCTTCTAATCCAGTGTTTCTCAACCTTGACAATTTTAAGGCATGTGGACTTCAACTCCCAGAATTCCACAGCCGGCAATGCTGGGAGTTGAAGTCCACATGCCTTAAAATTGTCAAGGTTGAGAAACACTGTCTAGTCCAACCCCTTGCTCAAGCAGGAGAACTCATACCATTCTGGACAAATGGTTGTCCAATCTCTTTTTTAAAACCTCCAGTGATGGAGCACCCACAACGTCTGCTGGCAAGCTGTTCCACTGATTGTTCTCACTTTCAGGAATTGTCTCTTTAGTTCTCCTTGATAAGTTTCCACCCATTAGTTCTAGTCCTGCTCTTGTGCTTTGGAGAATAGGTTGACCCCCTCCTCTCTGTGCTAGCCATTCAAATATTGGAAGACTGCTATTGTGTCATCCCTAGTCCTTCTCTTCGTTAGACTAGACATACCCAGTTCCTGCAGTCCTTCATATGTCTTAGCCTCCAGCCCCCTAAGCATCTTTATTGCCCTTCTCTGCACTCTTTCTACAGTTTCAACATCTTTTTTGTATACAGGTAGTTCTCAACTTATCACCATAATTAAGCCCAAAATTTCTGTTGCTAAGTAAGACATTTGTTAACAAAATGAAATTCAATGGTGAAAAAAGTAAGGTTCTACATTTAGGCAAGAAAAACCAAATGTACAGGTATAGTATAGTATAGGGGGTACCTTGCTGAATAGTAGTAACTGTGAGAGGGATCTTGGATTCCTAGTAGACAATCACTTAAATATGAGCCAGCAGTGTGCTGCAGCTGCCAAAAAAGCCAACACAGTGCTGGGCTGCATTAACAGAGGGATAGAATCAAGATCACGTGAAGTATTAATACCACTTTACAATGCCTTGGTAAGGCCACACTTGGAATACTGCATCCAGTTTTGGTCACCACGATGTAAAAAAGATGTTGAGACTCTAGAAAGAGCACAGAGAAGAGCAATAAAGATGATTAGGGGACTGGAGGATAAAACATTATAAGGAATGGTTGCTAGAATTGGGTATGTCTAGTTTAACAAAGAGAAGGACGAGGGGGGACATGATAGCAGTGTTCCAATATCTCAGGGGCTGCCACAAAGAAGAGGGAGTCAAGCTATTCTCCAAGGCGCCTGAAGGCAGGACAAGAAACAACGGATGAAAACTGATCAAGGAGAGAAGCAACTTAGAACTAAGGAGAAACTTCCTGACAGTTAGAACAATTAACCAGTAGAACAACCTGCCTCCAGAAGCGGTGAATGTCCAACACTGGATGATTTTAAGAAGAGACTTGGCAGCCATTTGTCTGAAATGGTGTAGGGTTCCTTCTTGAGCAGGGGGTTGGACTCCTTCCAACTTTATTATTATTATTATGGATCATCGCACAGTCAGCCAGATGTTCAGACTGGATTTGGCATTTTGTCTACCTATCGATTCCTTACCCAGGACCTGGGATAGGCAGATGTGGATGTTTGATGGTATTACAGGTATCGTCGCAGGATGGAAGCAGTTCCTAGTAAGGCCGCCTTTTGCAATTGACTAATAGCGAATTTGTCAATGCCAATGGTGTTCAAGTGGTGCTCCAGTTGTTTTGGGATTGCACCCAAGGAGCCTATGACTATTGGTACTATCCTTGCTTGCTTTTGCCACAGTCTTTCTATTTCTATTTGTAGGTCTTTGTATTTTGTTATCTTCTCCAGTTCTTTCTCTTCTATTCTGCTGTCTCCAGGCACTGCCACGTCCACTATCCAGACTTTTTTGTCTTTCTTATCGACAATTGTTAAGTCTGGGGTGTTATGTTGCAGGTGCTTGTCTGTTTGAATTCTGAAGTCCCAGAGCAGTTTAATTTTATCATTTTCTATGACTTTCTCTATTTTATGATCCCACCAGTTTTTGCTTACAGTATTATTATTATTATTATTATTATTACTATGTGAGCTTTGGACCATTTGATGACCTTTCTTGACATAATTGCTAAGTGAATCACTGTAGTGGTTAAGATAGTAACAGAGTTGTTAAGTGGATCTGGCTTCCCCATTGGCTTTGCTTGTCAGAAGGTTACACAAAATAATCAAGTGACCCTGGGACACTGCAACCATCATGAGTCAGTTGCCAAGCATCTGAATTTTGATCACATGACCATGAGGATGTTGCAACAGTTGTAAATGTGAAAAACGGTAATAATAAATCACTTTTCAGTGCCATTGTAACTTCGAACTGTCACTAAACAAACTGTTAAGTCAAGGACTATCTGTACATCTGGATGAAACTGAACATATGGATCAGTTTCAATTAGGGTTTTGCCCAGGATATAATGCTGAATCCATTTTGATTACCTTGATGAATGACCTACGCAAAAAGTAGAGGTAAGAAGTGTGGCCTTCCTAATTCTCAGTGACTTTTAATACCCTCAATAATGGTGTGCTTTGAGACCATCTGATGTGGATATGCAAACAGCACTTTGCACTGTCTCTCTTTCTTGTTGCTGGGTGTGTCCAGAAGATGGTGTATGGATTACTATTTGACATCCAGGTCATTTACCAGTAATGTCACATGGGTTTTTTTCTTTTCCCTTTTGCTAAGTGAAACTATTAGGTGGAATCATTTGGAGCATTGGAATGGATTGCCATCAGTGTGTTGGAGAGACATCTTCTCCTCTTTGTAACTCTGAGGAGGTTGGTGTTTTGGAAGATAAGGTTCTTCATGGGCAAAATCAGAGTTCTCCAACCTTTTTGGCTTTGCAGACCGGGGGAGGGGAAGGTTCTGCGCATGCAGTGCACAAGCGTGCAGCTCCATTTGCGTGAGTGGGGATGCACCCACGCACTTGCCCACCATTTGCATGGCCTGATTCCAAATGGTTCAAGGCCTAGTAGTGCACTGTGGTCTGGGAGTTGGGAACCCTTGGGCTAAATAGCATATTCAGACTAAATCAAGCTAAGTTTAACTTGCTGCTGGTAAAGAAGAAGCTCAGGTAAAGCCATTCTGAATGGAACTAACCTAGAAGAAGAGGTCCGCAGTTTGGGAAAGTTCCTTAACCTCCAGGTATTGCTAAACTGAAGTGATAAATATAGCACCCAGCAACCCTTTCTGAGCTGATTGGCCTTAATAACAATTATCTGTGCACCTTGGTTATATTGTAACTTCACTAGTATAGTCCACTTTATATGGGATTGCCATTAAAAAGGGACCAGAAATTGCAATCTTAAAAAATATGGCTACCCTTTTAACCAATGCAAGATAGAGGGATCACCAAGGGCCTGTAATAAAAAGTTTGTACTGGCTTCCAGTTGGTTGCTGAGTGTCCTTTAACTGGCTGTTGACCTTGAAAGTAATAAACATCTTAAGAGTCTCCAGGATTTTCATTTCTTGCCTGGATACTTAGATTAGCATTTTGAGGACATGCATTCTGGCTTCCCGCCTGGCTTTTAAGATATAGAAGGCCCTTCCTAAAGAAGTATGTTTGAGGGGCCCATCCATGTATTGTTTAGGAAATGATAAAAATCTATCTCACCCATCTTTTAATTGGCCACAAAATTGACTTTAAGGATATTTATTTTAATTTCACCTCTGATTTTAACAGCATTGTTTTAAGAGAGTATTTTGAAGTATAAGCTGCCTTGAATGTGCATGGACGGAAAGGGGGAATAGTTGGCAAATAATAATGGATTTAATTTATTTCCTGGTTTTACTAGGGTTGGTCACAACTTTAATATAGGTGAGAGTATTGAAACTATCTATGCAGAATCCAATCTGCTTGGAAGAATAAATCTCTGGTACTGGTGACCAACTAAGATTGGATGCTGCAACATATTCTGGGACATATATATTTGCCTTCATTCATAAACTACCTGTGATTCAGTATTTTCCATATATATTTTGCTACATTGTTGGCAAGTACTATATTGAAATGGATCTCCAAATGAATAATGATCAATATGTGTTAAGCTTTCATGGAGTTACTCAGTTTCAAACTCTGCCCAAAGGAAACTGAATTCTGAAATTCTGCGCTCATGTGGAATAGGAGCTCCGCAATACTCTATTTTATGGCCCTCTAATGAATTTCAGAAGGCCCTTGGATTCTGATACTCTGAAATTAGGAGTTGCATATTCATAAAATAATACATTTTTCTATTTATCACTGCTCTTGCAGTGAAAGGATGGGGGCGAGAATGAACATGATTGCTGGAAATTATTTCCTGCATGCCATTGGTTCTTAAAGAGAAGGGCCACTGCACAAGATGAGAAAAATATCTCTGTCCCTTTGGTCTGGCTCAAGATGAGAAGGATCTTGACAGACTTGAACACTGGGCACTATTTAACAAAATGAAATTCATTGTGAGAAAAGTAAGGTTTTACATTTAAGCAAGAAAACCCAAATACATAGGTATAGAATAGGTGGCACTTGGTTCAATAGTAGTAAATGCGAGAACGATCTTGGAGTGGACAATCACTTAAATATGAGTCAGCAGTATGCTTCAGCTGCCAAAAAAGTCGACACAGCCCTAGGCTGTATTAACTGGTAGAATCAAGCTCACATAAAGTGTTAATACCACTTTATAATACCCTGGTAAGATTACACTGGGTATATTGCATCCAGTTTTGGTCACCACGATATAAAAAAGATGTTTGAGACTAGAAAGAGTGCAGAGAAGAGCAGCAAAGATGATTATGGCCTTGGAAGCTAAAACATACGAAGAATGATTGCAGGAATTTGGTATGTCTAGTAATAAAAAGAACTAGGGGTGACATGATAGCAGTGTTCCAATATCTCGGGCTGCAACAAAGAAGAGAGTCAACCTATTCTCCAAAGCACCTGAGGGCAGGACAAGAAATAGTGGCTGGAAACTAATCAAGGAGAAAAGCAAGCTAGAACCAAGGAGAAATTTCCTGACAAAACAATTAATCAGTGGAACAACTTGCCTCCAAAAGTTGTGGGTGCTCCAACATTGGAGGTTTTTAATAAGAGATTGGGCAACCATTTGTCTGAAATGGTATAAGTTTCCTGCTTGAGCTGGTACGGTTGGACTAGAAGACCTCCAACTTCTAACTATGTTATTCTGAGTCGTGAATTACTTTCCACGGAGCCATCTGTACTATTTTTTCACTTTCTGAGGAGTTTGCCAAATTCTGGCCCAATTTGGAATAATTTTGGGAAAGATTAGAAAAATCAGAAGAATTCGCACGTTACACAGACCACCAGCTTGTGGAGAGGAAGAACCGAGATCTTCCCGTAGAAACGGCGGATTTTCAAGCATTTCGATACGGATGAAACTACCATCGGCAGGTGAGCTACAAAAAAAAGGGGACTTTTCTTCCACTCGAAAAGTAACTGGAATTGAAAATGCAATTTATTTCACTGGTGCAAACTTTAAAAAAAAGTCCTGCAATTTCTAGTACTGATGCAGAAGAAAGACGGGAAATAAAAGAAACTGATTTTTATTGCTAGGTGTTTAGCTTCGTGGAAAACAGGCGCGCTTAAACATCGCGGATTTCCATCGCAACTATTACCGGTATTTAACCTTGGCAGATTCCCAAATCCTATGCAAGGTTGAATCGGAAAAGTTATATGGAAAAAAGACCGCCGGGTGAGGAATACACTACGAAGTCGAAAAGGCACCTCGGCCTACAGCATTTCTCTTTGGCTGCCGGAAAACAATACTTTTTACGAGAAGCTTTAATTAGAATCAGAGGATATTGTAGGGGAGTTTTCAGGGAACTCAGAACCGCGGGATAAACCCACGTCTAAAAATTATACATCTATAGCTCAGTGTGGGAAGGAAGCATTGTTACTTTACTTCCGGTCTAGGACGGAAGTTGTGCTCGGCCGCTCCGGATTCCTCTGGGCCCGGCGTGATGAAGGCCATCATCCAACGTGTCACTCGAGCCAGGGTGTCAGGTGCGCGGGTGCCGTTTATGTTCCGATTCCGTTTTTTGTCAGCTGCCCAGCGCCAGCGTGCTCGCGTTTGCCCCTGGACGCGGTGGTTTAGAGGCTGTGTCTTCGGCTCCGGCATGCCGGCGGGGCTTCTCGTGGCCGAGCTCAGCCCCGCCATCTTCACCGCCTTCCGCCGCGGGCTCCTTCAAAACCCACCGCCTGGTTGCTCAGTTCTTAAAGGGTCTTATATTTCGTTAAGCCCTGATTTGGCATGAAATGTATTCTCGCGTTGGACATTGCAGCGAATCCCAGTTCTTTGCGGCATGTCCATGTGGTTCATGTATTTCCATCCTTTATCTTTGAAGCTTTTAAATGTGAAACAAAAAAAGGAAGTGTGAATAAGTCTTAAATTGTTGATTCGTTATCCTATTCCACATACGCAGGGTGCTCTTTAGAGAATGGTAATTTGTGACGATCAGCCAGTCTCTTTACGTGTTTTATACAGCATGTGCAAAATTTATATACTGATGTGGCTGACATCTTTAACACGTTTAGATACATGGTTTTACTTTGCAAATATTTAGTGTTTTGTATGCTTTCCCACTGTAAACTATTAGAGTTGAAAAGAATTTAAAGAACTAAGCCCATAGTCGTGCAGGTAAAAAAATTAGGAGGACATAGAAACTCCTGTGAAAAATAATTAAAGGAAGCGATGCTGAGCGTGGCATCTGAGGGGGATAAGCCTAGTGATTGATTATTTACTTATATTTCCTATTTCTTAATTTGTCCATTGTGTGTAGAAGAGTGCATGAGAGTTTGCCATGAGATAACTTGCCTCAATGTTTGTATTTACTTCAGAAATAGACTTGCCATGAAGAGATTTGCTTAGTTTATTTAATTTTCTTTCTTTCCTTACTCCCTCTGAATAAAATGTCTTCAGAACAACAGATTTGATAACATGCACATCTTTATTTAGGCAGAAGTAATGTCCTAATGTGATTGTGTAAAATGTTCAAAAGATTTTACATTACAGTATTTAATCATTTTATTGTAGTATGTTTTTAAAACAATGTCTGTAGCTTGTATATTTATTATTTATAATGTTTTTATCATTGTAGAGTAAATCTTCACAAATTAGCATAAGATAAAAATATATAAATCAAAATAGTTAGGGGAACATAATAGAAACAGAAAATACACTCTGGACTCTAGCAATGAAAAACAGTGAAATGTTTGGTAGAATAAAAACAGAAATAGGAACTGTTTATCTGCCATAAGGATTATTAGATTTAATATGAGTACAGATATGAAAAACATTTGAACTAGTTTAGAATTCACCTATCCCCTTTAACGTGTGGACATCATTGAAATATCCTATTGATTAAACTAGGAAGTTAACCATATGTTTTAATTTTCTTTGTTGTAATTAGGTGGAACTTGATGCAGTGACAGCAAAATTTCAGAAAAATGTTTATTCTAGGGTAGACTATTAAAGGCTCCTTTTGATTTTTATTTTTAAAATATTAGTTGCCAGTGAATATGCAGAATTGAAATGAAGAAGTGACATTTGCAAGCATAATTTATGGAGAATAATGTTGTTAACTTTCAGATGAATAGGTTCAGGCTTTTTCTGTTTACTGTACCTTAAGAGCTATGTCTACATTGTTAGTTGCCTCTCCAGAATACACATTTCTCACCATTATTTTCAAGATCATTTTTATAAACGTATCATTTCCACAAATGTCACAAGACATTTCCATTGTGGTACCTTTCTGTAGCATTCTTAGAGAAAAACTTTGGCAGGTCAGAACAGCATAGCACTTTGTTAGGCAGTCTGTCTAACTGTCCAGAGAAAAGGATAAGGGTAGTAGTAGCATTAAGTGTCCTACAGACTGCAGAGTGACTTAGAATATACAGTAGTGGCCAAAATTGTGGAAACCTTTTGGGAAAAGTGTACAGTAGAAATGCCACCTTTGGTTAAGTTTCCACCAATTTTTCTTATAATTTTTTCTAACTGTAGCCTTGTTTACTTAATAATACTATTTTACATTGCTTTCTGGGCAACCAGTCAACTCTGCACCATTACTTCAATTTTATTACATTTTACAAGCTCACTAAATGAAAGAACACAAAAAAAACCCAACCAACTTGATAGCGATCACTGACAAATGTCCTCCTCTCAGCTTCAATACATGACATCAATAACTGAATCCTACTATGATCTGATTGGCTCATTGCCAAAACAAGATGACACCTGATTGGCTCTTTAAACACTCATGCTCATTGGCTACAATCAGATGAAGGAAAGCTACCTGATTATCAACCTAAGCAACATATGCTTCCTTTTTCTGGTTATTTGGCTATAGCCTTTCATAGAATACAGTACAGATAATTGAACAAACTTTGTTGTATTACACTCTTGATTAAATTATCTTTCCATTGATATACTACTCCAAAAAAAAGTGTTATTAGCCATCAAACCTCAAAAATACACTTTTCCCAAAAGGTTTCCACAATTTTGGCCACTACTGTATTTGCCAGTGTAATTTTACTAGATCCTTATTTTTATGATTGGCTACGGTAAATTTTAATAAATGGGCACCCTGCTATGACAGTTATTTTGTTACAGTATCCACAATATTATCTCAAAATTCTGTATGCACCATCAATCCAAAAGGTTTGGGAAGGTCTGTAAGTAAGTCCTTGACTTACAATTGATTAATGATGGTCCAAAATTAACAACTGCCTGAAAATAGTGTAAAATTAATTACAAATACAAGGCTTGTAAAGCTCTTCAGAAAATGTTGCATCACCATGCCCACAATCCCCTGATCACGATTTGGGTGTTAGGCAGACTGTTTGCACTTATAACTGGTTTTTAAGTGCCCTGCAATCATGTGACCACCTTCTGTAATCTTCTCTGCCAGCTTTCCCAAAAAAATCAATGGGGAAGCCAGAGGGAAGGTTGCAAGCTGCTGCTACCTGCTGAGAGGACTCCCTCTCATCTTTGGGGATTGGCTAAAATAGCTACTTGCCTAGGGAAGCTCTAGTTCCTTCAGTGGGGTGCAGAAAAGGAGCTCAAATCCTGAAGATTTGAGCTTTTCTGCACTACACTAGAGAGTGTCCTTCGGTAGGTTGCAGAAACAGAGCTCACATCTCAGGATTTGAGCTCCCTTCCTGCACTTTGCCAGAGGTGTTCCTTTCCATGCAGAGAGGGGAGCTGAATTACTTCGGCAGGTAACTCTTTCAGCCTCTGTACACTAGAGACAAAAGAGAGCTGAAATCCAAGCAGAGAGCAGAAAAGCTGTGTGGTAAGATAATGAGCATAGGGTTCTTCGGACAGATGGTGGAGGCTCTGGGAAGCCTGGAATGGGCTGTGCACAAGCATCTCTGCTCAGGGACTGAACATTCTGCTTGGATTTCAGCAGGGAGAATTTCAGCTCCAGAGCGGAACCTCCCCCCTCCCCTCCGCATCCCATGCTCTTTACCTGAGACTCTATCTGCTTAATCACCTGGGACAGGGGTCCCCAATCCCCAGGCTATGGCCCACTACCGGGCAGCAGCCTGTTCAAAACCAGGCTGTGCAAATGATGGACAAGCGCATGCATGCATGCGCGCACAATGCTCCACTTATGTAAGTGCTGGCCCTTGCACTTGTACACAAAGTTCCACTTGTGCGATCAAAGGGTGCTTGAGTAGAGGGCACTTGTACTCACATGCAAAGCTCCACGCCTGTGAGTGGAGGGTGCTTGCACACATGCACAAGCACCCTCTGCTCAAGTGCCCTCCATTTGCACAAGTGGAGCTTCACATGCAAACGCCCTCTGCTTATACACAAAACCCCATTCCTGTGAGCGGAGGGCACGCACACCGCTCACCAATGGAGCTGTGTGCGCACATGTGTGCCTGTCACTCACACGCCTCCCCCCCCCGTGCTGTCTTGTTTAACTGGTTTTCTCAGCATTCAAGATTACTGTCTCAGTTGTGGTCGTAAGTCAAGGACCACCTGTAAAGTCTCCTTTGAGTGGATTGGTTATATCAGCAAAGTTTTAAAGAAGTGTTTTTTTAAAATATTTTTTAAAATTTATATTTAATAAATATAAATAGCCTTATCGTTGAGAGTGGCAGCATATAGGTTTAATAACAAGTTAAATAAATAGAATTATATGTTGCCCTGTCTACCTATAAGGCGACTCTGGGCAGCTTACAAACGGTGAAAAGATAAAAAAGATAAATATACAAACAACTAAAATTTGAAATGCTATATTTAAAGCTAGAAGCAAGGAGACTGACGTCACAGGGATAAGACCTTTTTACTCTGTCAGCCCACTTCACTGGTGAGTGCCCCCTCCTCGGAACCCCAAGCCAACTGGCAAAACCAGGTTTTGATACCTTTCTGGAAGGCAAAACGGGTAGAAGCAATTCTCACTTCTGGTGGTAGAATGTTTCACGGGGGGGGGGCCACAGCGGAAAAGCCTCTTCTTGATCCCACCAGTCAGAATTTCTTAGCAGGGAAGGGTTCTGCAGCAGGCCGCTTCCACAAGGGTTAGTGAGGTGAGCTAGCCCCTTTTGGGCGAGACACATCCTTTGATACCCTAGACTCACCCCATAAAAGATTTTGAAGGTAATAGCCAACACTTGAATTGTACTTATGAATTTCTTAAAGCATTATCCATTAACTACTTGTTACAGATTCACTCTCATTGTTGTTTTCACCATTAACATGGGTATGGGAGCACAGATTCACAAGGTGTCCTTGCTGTGTCTGGCACAACAAATGTGAGAGGTAGCCCTACCTCTGTAGATAGATACTTATTTCTTATATGGGGATTGCATGACAATCTACAATGAAGGATTAGATCAGTGGTGGCGAACCTATGGCAAACTTGCCAGAGGCAGCACTCGGAGCCCTCTCTGTGGGCACGCATGCTGTCGCCCCAGCCCTGCCCCAGCCCCGCCTCCCCCCGCAGCTCCCTCCTCACCAGCAGCCCCTCTGGAGGAAAGTCGCCCCCGGGCGCAGCCCACACGGAGCAGCGCAGCCAAGGACATAGCCAGGCAGCAGGGACAAGACTCCGCCCTCGCGCCCCATAGCATGCAGATGATGCTGTGGGGTGTGGGTGGAAGGCGTGGCTGCCATGGTGCTGCAGGGCTGCCTGGGCGATATGCTGTGGTGGGCCATGGAGACGGTGCGTGGCCCTGCGGGCAGGGGGCGGGTGGGGGCGCAGCAGGCAGGGCAGGAGACAGCGGGGGTGGGGGGGGCGGTTTTTGGGCACTCAGTCTCTAAAAGGTTCGCCATCACTGGATTAGATCTTTTCATCAAGAGCAAATTTATTTTCACACAGATAGAGGTGAGGCATGAATTATATTGTGATGTTTTTACTATTATAAATTCTCTTGTTGACACTGTTACACATCTGTCATTTCTCCCTGTTATCTTAGCTGTTCTATATGTGGGTGGTTTATCAATCCTATCTCTAGTTCCTCTCTGAATATGAAGTGCCTTACTTCCATTGGGTACCCCAATTAAAAAAAAATCTGTTAGATAAAAGTCTTGGGGAAGATTAGATAATGATTGAAGATGGAGGACACTAAATGATTCAGCTGAATAATTTATATACTGTATAGCTAGATGCCTGGATGCCTGGTACTCAGATAAATCAGCCATTGATAAACACACAGACACAAACAACATTCAAAAGAGAAAATCAACAAGCCAAAAAGAACCTTTTCCAGCTTAGCACCCATTAATTTTGGCTGATAATTTCAGATCCAGATGAGTGAAACTTTCCTAAATAACTTAAATTTTGAGATTTACTTTGAAATTTGTTGACCTCTTTTGATTCAAAGGGAGCAATTAAAGTAACTGAAAAAAAAGTTATTAAATAGCAAATGTAAGATTCCAGTTTGCAGAACTTTCCCCCTCCCCCTCCAATATTCCCTATTAATGGAGGGGAAGATTGGTTACAATCTGGCTATCTTGAATGTTATCAAAACAGTGTGGGTTCTTCAGACATCCTAGGCTCGATGCTGTAGTGTTAAAGCAGTGTTTCCCAAACTTGACAATTTTAAGGCATGTGGACTTCAACTCCCAGAATTCCACAGCCAGCGTTGCTGGCTGTGGAATTCTGGGAGTTGAAGTCCACATGCCTTAAAATTGTCAAGTTTGGGAAACACTGTGTTAAAGGATGGATATTTGAAAATGTCTTTCAACAACTCTGCCATTGCAGCAGTGATAGAGCTAAGACAGTAGAACTTTTTTTTCTGTATGAACTGTATAACTTGTGTAAACAATTATATTCTGCTTCCATTATGGCTAACAAAAGACGGGGGGGTGGAGATTAAAATTCCTTTTTAAAAATCTTTTTTATATACTAGCTTCTATCTTCACATCAAGATTGGTTACATTTTGCACGGTTTATAATTCTGTAACAAAACATCTGGATTTATTTAAATTGACTGTAGTTCATAAGCATATGAAATATCTTAGTTTGTGTGGTCAGGTTTAGAAGTACATATGTGTGAAATTCCTATTAAAGAGGTTTCCCGATAAGAATTTTGTCTGAAAGAAGATTCCTTTTGGGTATTAAAATATTTATATCATTCTATGATATGTAAATTGGTTGTATGAGCATTTATTAAATATTTTGTATTCAGAGATGTATTCTATTTTTGCCTTCTATTTCCAATTGTGTTACTATGTTATAATTACTGATTGAAGGACTATAAAAGCAACAAACCCACTACATACTGGTACTAACCTTGGGCTAAGGAGATCATATATTTTACATTCCAAAGGCATGCATATATTTCTTGTTTTTCTTTGAAAGGGGATCTATGCATATTATGTTTTGCAACAAATTGTTAAAAAAACCTATCTCCACTGGGAATAGAATTGTGACACTTAATAAGAATACAACTCTATAGAGTAAGTTGCTTTCCGAGTTTAGGAATAAGAAACTTTTACATGTGTGTGTTTATTTATAGGGATATGACACAAAATGAATTCTATACATTTAACTTCTTAAAAATATCCCTTACAGTTGGTGAGGAACAAATAAGCTCCATTGGACGTGGTATTTGTGTGCTGCTGGGTATCTCTGTGGAAGACACGCAGAAAGAGCTGGAGCACATGTAAGTAATAATAAATAGTTAATTTTTCTTCCACTTTGTAATTTACATATGTTTTACTTAAACAAATGATATTTTCTAAATGTATGGATCAGTTGTTATGCATAGAATCTACATCTACTGTAAATCTCTTTATATTATCTTTGCTCCCCGTTTTCTGGTCTTTATATTTATAGAATATAATGTAGAATATACAGTAGATGTAGAATATTGAACAGCTTAACTTCAGAAAAGTTCCATAAAGGCCTCTGACTTTTCATACAGGGTTCGAAAGATATTAAATCTTCGTGTGTTTGAAGATGAAAGTGGGAAACACTGGTCTAAAAGTGTGATGGATAAGCAGTACGAAGTGCTGTGTGTTAGCCAGTTTACTCTTCAATGTATCCTGAAAGGAAATAAGCCAGATTATCATATGGCAATGCCTTCTGACCAAGCAGAATCTTTCTACAACAGTTTTTTAGAGCACCTTCGCAAAGCATACAAGCCAGAATTAATTAAAGGTAAGGCAAAATTAACTGAGGAATTGAAATATTTCTCAGGCAGTAAGCTAGATTCCTATAGAAATCGCTATACTTACTTTGTAATTTATTACACTTAAATTATAATTCTTTTTTTAATAAAGGAAAGTATTTTAACAGTCAAGATTTAATGCTGCTCATTATGCTTTTGGTTTGAATTAATGATAGAGATATTATGACTTTAACAAAAGAATTAAATATTGTTTATGGATAAGTACCCTTTCTCTTTTTGCCATCCAACTCTAATTTTTCAGATGGCAAATTTGGCGAATACATGCAGGTACATATTCAGAATGATGGACCTGTGACCATTGAACTGGAGTCTCCTGCAGCCCCTGTTGACTCTAAACAAGTATGTTATAGTAGTGCTTTTCTTTACCTACCGATTTTGAGATAGTACGTATGTTGATTTGAAAAGCCTTACTATGTTCTGCGGGCCTCCTCTTTATATTCTGACCCGAGAATAGCTAATCCTCGTCTGGACAATAATTATTTTAAAAAGAAGTGAGGTTTCTCTTGGAGAGTATTAAAATCTTGTTATGAAAATAGCACTGCAACAACAGCCATGGAAGAATGATAACTTAGGGCTGTGATACTTTTGGATCTTTATGGCTGTTGCTTCTTTTCAGCTGAAGTTTTATATGTTGCTATATAGCAGTGGTTCTCAACCTTTCTAATGCCGCGACCCCATAATACAGTTCCCCATGTTGTGGTGACCCCCAACCACTTATACATCACCGGGTGCCAGGGGCGTGGCCAAAGAAAAGGGGGAAAATGGCGGACAGCCTTGTTTGGCGACCCCCGTGAAATGGTCGTTCGACCCCAAATGGGGTCCCGACCCACAGGTTGAGAACCACTGCCATATAGCATTGTTACAAAATCATGAGTTTATTTTATTTTTATGTTTATGAGTTAAGATACTTAGAGTATCTTAATAGTTTTATAGTTTTAATAGTTTTATATATTTGTCAATAATCTCAATGCACTTTATGAACACTGTATTATAAGAGGATAACTAGAAAAATGAATGCTGACAGAAGTCTGTTTGAATGAAAAAGAGGAAGTCATTCCTATTTAATTTAAGCTAATGGGAAATGCTAGATCTGACATGTAATGGATCCAGTAGATTTGTGGTATGCGTGCCTTATTACATTGTATTATAGAATATATCATATTCTATGTTCTGTGAACAGTTACTTCCGTCAGAGATTTACTGTTTGCTTCTGTGCTTTCTTTCAAGTCTTTCACTAATCTGGCCCTTATTTGTCCTATGAGTGGCTCTTTCTGCTCAAATAGTTAACAAAGCAACATTTTCAGTGAATTGCACTGCTATTGCATGTATTAATTTTAGATACCACAGAGTCATGTAATAATAATATAGTATTAACTGAGACATATCATTTCTAAGAGTAAGTGGTTAGTACTGACATCTGCTTGTGCTAAATTAGGCTTATACTAGACTAGAGTTTTTAAGTTTCAGCTGTGTGCATGTTAATACATAGCAAATATTGACAAATAAAAATCTGATCAAAGTATTAAAAATAGATAATCAAAAATTACCACTTTAAATATACTATAACTGCATTGGTTATTCTGCATGAATTAGCTGCTACAAAAATACCTTTAATTAGATGTGATTCTTACATTCTGGTTTGTTCTGTTTTGAAAGAAAATGCAACCTCACAACCCAAATACATTATCCCTGATTGCTGTTCTTTTCCCTAATATGAAATGGTGTCAACACGTTCCTATACATCTGAAGTCCTAACCATAAAATCTGTACAAGATTTTCAGCTTGGGTTGCATTTCAGACTGCTCTAGTCTATTGAATCCATTGAAACCCATATTTGATATGGTTGAATTATAAATAAGCAAATACTGAAATTTTGTATTTACCCTGTCTACATTTTCTAGGAGCAGTTTATTTCCATAAAGAAACCTTCCAACATGCTTGCTATTGTTACTTAATCAATTTCTTTCTAAATAAAAACATTGAAAGAAAATAATAGCCTCAAGTTGTTTGCTTCTTCTCAAGCTTCTTTCTAAATAAGAGCTTTGAAAGAAAATAATAATAAATCATCCTCTAGTCTTTTGGCTAGGGCTTGGTATCTAGGAACTGTAAAGAGTTGGAGAAATAACATCAGTGATATGTAAGGAGCTGTAACACTTCAAGAAAATTACTACACTTACTAGAAAGATACTCTTTTAATATACTATTACTGGAAAAAATATTTTAATATTCAATGCCTATTCTGCAGTATAACTATTGTACAAATCCCATACATTTGTATTGCCTGTTGGAAACCAGGCTGTGCTATTACAGACTGACATTTGGAGATACGTTGTGACAAAGTAGAATTGCCAAGGAGTCTGTTCTGGAAATGTTGTTGGTGTGTGTGTGTGTGTGTGTATGTGTGTGTGTAAATAAGTTCTAATAACAGTCTTGTAATGATGAGTATACATTGCCAGCATTCTATTTAAAGATTTTCATTACAGGATGATCTTAATTATAGGAAATCATTAAGTGAAGATCTGTCACTTACATATTTCTTTGACAGGGCAGGAGTTCTGAGTAATATTAGCTTCCTGTCAGTTTATTTGAATTTTTTACTGGAGTGTTTTAAATAATGTGGAACTTAAATTGGTTCAGTTTAAAGTTAGCTAGTCTGGTCATTATTCTGGTTTCTTTTTTCCATATTCTTACTATTACTGTTATAGCTAATGTAGCAGGCAATCTTTATTATTATTAGAATTGACTTGATTTTTATATTTTAGCAGAATCCCAGAAGTATGTGGTTGCTTGTGTTTCCTAACAAAAAAATGAGAGTGCATAATATTTCTGAGAGATATGAAAATGATCAATTTACAATGTTTTATGCAGTGCTGTCAAACATATCTTTGGTGATTTACAGATCATCTTGGCCAATCCTTTTAAAAAGATTTTGGTGGCAAATCTTTACTTATTTTCACCATATATTTTGTCTGCTCACACCATTTCAAGGTCTAATATACATCACCCACCAAATCAAGGTACATATATGTGCTCACTATCAATGGCAAATGAGATCTATTAACAATTCCCCACAATGTTCTATGCTGAACAAAATAGCCAATCGTTGTGCAACAGGATCAATGGACTCAATTGACATAAAATGGCAATTCCTAAACATTCTTGGAAAGCATACTAATTTCATGGAACATTCTTTCTCTGACCACAAAGTGGCAAGATATGTGAGAAAAGTCCCTGAGACAACAGAGGTGAAATTTGTTAGAAGAATTTCAATAGCCTTTCTGATGGAATTTATCAAACGAGATATGTTAACTATTCACTGCAAGAATGTCTGCATCGTGTCTAATTGCTGTTTTATGCAGTTCTGCCCTGCGCTTTCTCTTTATGATTTCCTCCTCCTTCACTTTCTCTTGTCAAATTGCATTTTTTCAGGACAATAAGCTCATTGATTTATTGGTGTTTTTATTGCAATAAAATAGGTTGCAGTAGACACAGGTACTTCCCTTAGAAGTAAGAATGGTTACTATCTCCAGCATCCAAAATATTTATAGCTCTCTGCCTTCAGCCTTTTTCATAAACATTCTGCCATATTCCCCCAGTCCCACAAGTTTGTGCATATAAAATGTTCCTCTCTGAGATCTATATCCCCATACATCTGATGAAGAGCATTGGTGTAATCTACAAAAACTTCCTGTTCTTTATTTTTTATCTTGTTTTGCTGTAAAAGTCTAACATAGTGAAAACTAAGATATTATCTGTGCTATTGCACTGCTTCCGTTTGTTTATATTCATTCACAAATGTGCTTTTCCATCTTTCCTTTGCAACAGTTAACAAAACTTGAGAAACAACAACAGAGGAAAGAGAAAACCAGAATGAAAGTCCCTTCTGAATCAAGCAGAGAACGAAATCTTCCTAGAAGTAAAAATGATCCAAGTGCAAGCAGTGGGGCTGAAGGGGATGTTTCTTCTGAAAGGGAACCGTAACTTCTCAAAGCACCTTTAGGTATGGAGTTTCTGCCTCTGCTCTTCTCGAAAAGATCCATTTCCTGCCATTTTAAGTCTTGTGTAAATTATTTATTATTTTCTTTTCAATCCTGTAAATATGTACTTTTTCAATATTTAAAGCTGCTTCCACTTCATTTCATATAGCCCAGTTTTATTTCCTTTGTATAGTTTCATCTCTCCCTTTCCATGTCTAGTGCTTTTTTCACTCCCTCGCCCCCCCCCCCGGTGCCTGGGGCAGTTATATCTTCTCTGATAAATAATTGGAAATTTCCTTTATTCCTAAAACAAATGGCCATAGCTATTTATGTATTCCAGCTTCTTAATGACTGAGAGGCATTTAAGCAACATTTTTTTAAAAAAATACCTTATATATTCAGGCTGTGTTTCTCCAACTTTTAGTGACATTTTGTGTGATTTGGCATATGCCAATTTTTTGTACAATATATAAATTAAAATCTACCAAATAGGGCCCAGGTCCAGCTCTAAATCTGTTAAAGGAGCTTTATTTCTTAGGGAAAAAGCATAATGGAAAGCATAATGGAATGTAATTTACCTGGAAGCTAGGGGAGGGAGAGAGGGAGGGAAGGGAGGGAGGAAGGAAAAATATGTTACTTTTAATTGAAACTATGCATAATTAGTGAAGCCATGTATCTTGAAATTTTATTATAATCTGAAAAGCAACTGCATTTTCTAGTATGGGATCGAATATAGCATATAAAAAATGAGGAAGGAAGCAGGACTAATCAAAGGATATGTCTGTAGTTTAGGAAGAATCTTACAAAATAAGATTACACTTAACACTGGAAAAAATGGTCATTTGCTTCTCTTTTTCTCCCTTTCTCACTTGAAGTTGTACATGGCCCAGCCTGAGGGGGGAAAATCACTAATATGAAGTAGAATTTTTTCTACCTTGAAATATTATTCCTTCTTTAACTGCTATGTACTGTTTAGTTGACTACAGCATCTTATAAGTACTGTAAACAACAAATAAAATCTGCTATAATTAAAACTTTATTTTTTGATCCTTTGATCCTATATTTATTTATAGTCAACTTAGCATACTGCAGATATTAAGGTCCAGGCAGCTTTGAATAAAAAACATCAAAACAGTTTAAAAGGATTAAAAGCAATAAAAGCAAGTAAAATAATTAAAATAAATAGCTAGAAGCCTATATATGCATTTAAAGTTTTTTTTAAGGTGATAAAAATGTTGACTTCTGCCGGAAACTCGGCACCAATACAGAAGACTTGATCCAGGGTTGCCCTTAGATGAGCTCATTGTAACTGTAGGAGAACCTCCTTAGATGATATCAACAAGCAGAGGATGCTTAGTGATTTGTATTTTGCCCAGAAGTGAAGTAGTAACCAGTGCAGTGGTTTAAGTACAGGTGTGGAATTTTGTCTGCTTTCTTCTTGAGCCCAATCTTTTGCCAAATTTTGTATCAGCTGAAATGCTACAATTAGGATTAAAAAACTCTTAAAACATAAAATACTCTTAAGACATTATAGCTTGGAGTTTAGCGATAGATGAAATAATAGTTTAAAGTTAATTTATTTTCAGAAATCAACAATAGGTATCAGCCAAAGCTGATAAAAATGGTCCAATCTGGAAAACCAGAAAAAAGATTTGAGGTCAGAAGTATGCTGAAGCTATTTACTGCTCCTTCTGGAGAATAACTTCCTTCAGAATGGACTTGTTTCACAAGAAGGTCAAAAAATATTTTGCAGTTTGAGCAGTTGCTTTTTTGTTCATAAAACTAAAAGATCCGGAGAAGTAGAAATTAAGAGGGAGGGAGGGAGGGAGGTAGGGAGAGGGAGGGGGAGGGGGAGGGAGGGAGGGAGGGAGAGAGAGAGAGAGAGAGAGAGAGAGAGAGAGAGAGAGAGAGAGAGAGAGAGAGAGAGAGAACGCTAACTCAAAACTGGGTGAAGTTCCTATTTGTTACCACAATTTGAACTTAATTCTGGCTAATATCCATGCTATCCTATTGCAGCAAAAGTCCAGAAGTTGCATTTATCAGATTGCTTTTAAATCCTTATTCTTAAAAGGGTTGGATGATTGAAAGTGTGTTGGATCTTATAAAAGGGAAAAGAATAAATGTTTGTGAATAAAAATTGATAACATTATTGTAGGTGGTCACTTTTATTACTTTGTCATACTAAACAATTGTTTTGCTGTAGGTCAGACATGTCAAACTCGTGACGTTACGTGACGTCGCGCAACGTGGGCCGGCAGTTTGACACCCCTGCTGTAGGTGCTTTATATTTCCTTGTGTGCTGAGACAAATTGCAACTTGATTTAAATGAATGCTGATGTTTGCATAAAACATGGCACTTAGCCCAAGGCAGTGATTAAAAGAGACACTATAATTTGGAAAGATTGCTGGCTCAGCTCTTAGCTTGTGATGAAATCACTAGATTTCTCCACCTCTCTTTGCAACATGTGGATAGCAATGGTGCTGTTTTACTGTAGAGGAGTGAAAGAGTGACTAAGGATATATCATTCAGATAATAGTTTAAAATAGAACCTCAACCAACTCTGGGCTACCTTGTCTTGAGCAAGGCTTCCCTTTTGGCTTTTAGTTAAACATGAACCATTGTTTGCCAAGATGTCCAACTTGATAAGTTGTGATTAGTACCTGCCCTCAAACCAGAATTAACTTTCTGATTCAAGGACAAGTGTTATTCACAATTTTCCTATTCAAACCTCACAGCACATTATGATATCACATTAAAGGAATTTGTGCCTATGATGCCATGGTGCATAAAATTGCCATATCTATAACATCTGAAATATTTTGAACATACAAAATATTGTATAACTGCTAATCTACTCTTTTTATTTCCCAAGAAGAGCAAGTCGGTGCTTTAAAGACTGATTGATATGATTAAAAAAAAAAATCCATCTAGTATCACCAGATCAATACAGGTGACACTGCTTGCCTGGCAAAGCTGTCATCTAATTGTGTCACTGGATTGCTGGAACAATTTATTTTAACCTTGAGAAGGAATTAATTAGCAAATGTGTGGGCTGAGTAATATTTGTCCACATGATGGAGCAATTTGACAATTACTTCATGGTGAATTTTCTGTAAGTCCTGAGACTATTTTTGGTAAAGGGTCTGACTCACTGAACACTTTGCGCAATTTTCCTCACTGAGTTCAATGACAGTTTCATAAAATTCTGAAAGGAAGTCATTCAATCAAACAGCTTTCCATGTTTTCATTTTGAAAATTGCTTTTGCTCTCTCGCTTCCCAACATGAAGATATTTAAAACAAGCATACTGGGCAATGGTAACATGATGTCTCTTCATTTTAAATCCTTCTGTAAGAGAGTAAGCTTGGAATAAATAAGGGGAAAGGGGAAAGAATGGTTCAAATTCAATGACATAGTAAAGAAAAAAGAATATGTTGAAGGAAAAGTATCCAAATATCAGAATACAGACTGCTCTGATAGAAGAGGATGAACTAAGTATCATCAAAACTCTAGTGACCACAGAGATAGACCTCCAGAATGATTGGTCCCCAGTCTGGTCTTCAGATCTTTCAATAATGTACCCATGACCACTGTAATCAAACTTGGTGCTGATCATTTTTTTCTTCTGTTTCCTTCCACCTTTCTCTGCATTATAAACTTCTCAAGAGAGTTGGGTCTTCACATGATGTGTCCATAATACAAAAAATTGAGTCTTGGGTAAGAATTCTGGATTGATTTATTTCCTTGGCTATCCATGGCATTCTCAAGATTCTTTTCCAAAGCATCAGTACTCTTTCTATCATACTTCTTGATCCAAATTTTGCTTCTATAGAGTGCTAAGGGAAATCCATTATATGCACATTCACATGCATAATTCTTAAAGAACTGTTAATAAAATTTAATTCAAATTTATTACAGCCGTAAGGCCAGACACAAACAAAATATGGTATAAAAGTAGTAGTACATTCTTATATATATGTGTGTGTGTAAAGGAAGGACAGTAGGTATAATAGAGTCTAAAAATAATTAAGAACATAATTCTTATAAAATTCTATTATAAAATTCCAATCCGAAGTAGTGGTATAGAATATCGTACAAATGATAACACAGAATTGGGTGACTTGAGAGGTTATTTTCAAGTCCTAGTCTGAGAGTAGTAGCATTAAATAGAAATTACATTCCCTACCTAGAAATTTCTTCCAGGCAGAATATATAAGGGTCTGTCTAGAGTCCTTATATAAATAACAGTATAATGGTATATGGCCTAGAGTTTCTGTTCAACCATCACCACATAGATATAACTGAAGATTCATAGGAGTACTCCTAAAACATCCCCAAAGAATTGCTGAGGACATAATATCCTTGCAAACCTTTAACATTGAAATAGGCAGTTCTAGCATTATCAAAGCCTAATATGCACAGACTGTAAGTACCCACTTCAAACCTCATCCCAAGAAAGCAGGACTTTTGGAACACTCTCATTCCAAAAGGAACTTTTATTAGGAGAAGCTGACAGCAAGCATAGAAGGCAGGATCTGAGGGTCTCCCGCTCAGATCAATAGGTTAAAAGAGTCTCAAATAAACCCCACCCCAACAGTTCATCCGGTCAGTTCAAACGAGCCAATCTCTAGGTGTTAAGTCCACTGTGGGAAGACCTTGTTGGGTCTTCGCACCTTTCTCTTCCGCAGCGAGAGATAAGCCAGATGGCCGGAGGTACATTCCTTTCTCATCCCAAGTTGGCATCAAGGGAGAAACAGTTCAAAAAGCGAGCATGTAGAAACAGCGGAGAGGATACATTGTAGCAAAGCAAAAGGGCATCCCACAGAGCCTTCTCCCCCCTCCTCAGGAGAATGGCAGAATCCACAAGAAGAAAAGAAAATGAATTAGAAACCCCCCCCCCCGAAAGAAATGGATTCTGACACAGACTTTCTATAGAGAAATCCAGCAACTGAATTTTATCTAGGGCTCTTTGTTAATAAAATTTATTTATAAGTAACAAAAAAAAATTGTTGATAAATATAAAAACATTTTAAATAAATTTTATGTTTATTGTTACAGTTGTAGATTTAAGGCAGGTATGGGGAATTTTATTCCTCTGAAGACTGCATTTTATTTTACTTTATTCTGCTGCCATGATTTGAGGGGATGTGGTCCCAACCCCTGTCTGCGGACCGGTACTGGGCTATAGCATGCTCACAACCAGTCCGCACAAACAAGCAAAGTCCCATCCGTGGGATGCAGGCAGCACACAAAACTACGCACTCTCCAGTCCGCAGAAAAACCTTTCTCCACGGAACCGGTCCCTGGTGCCCAAAAGGTTGGGGACCACCGTCATAGAGGATAGGAATGAATGTTTGTTTTTCTGCTGGAATGCTTTTATGTCAAGTAAGCTTTGCAAATTCATTTCACCAATTTTTCCTCTGAAAAAAATTATACTAATCACATGACTGAAAATCAATTATTTGTTTATTAATATTAGTGTCCAAGTGACATTTTGTAAGGGCAGCATGAATTGGTGAAGAGTTTGTGCGATATGATGTTATGGTAGCCATTCCACGCATAATATCATAAAACTGATGGAAGGTGGAATTTACAGCTTCAGGTATTAGCATAAGTATCTTCAATCCCCTTAGTTCCTCCTCAATTGTTTGTCCTTTCTGGAATTGCCAATATTGCAACTCCACCATTTTCCCCATCATGAGACTGAGATGGGTGCCTATTTGGTAGGCTCATTTTGAGGATATTGTTGATGGTGTGTGAAGGTGTTTATGATCCTGGCTGGTTTGGTAGGCAGCCAGTAATGTTGGTACCAGTTAACTAGAGGTAGCCGAGTGTATAAAGTGGTAATGGCCTCTCATATTTCAGAGGCTGCCCAGTAAGTGGGCAGCAGGCAGCAAAGCTCCGTGGTGCTGTGTATCAACTGCCATTACTTCAGCTGATAAGCAGTGAGAAATGGACTCTGGAGGATTTAGCTCCTGTCTTCCTTGGGTCTGCCACCATAGAAACCATAAGACAGACTAAGCTGGCAGAGGTCAAGGAAGTGTTGGTGGCTATGGCATCCTGGTTGTTGGAGTCTCCAGTGGAATGGAGGGCTCAGATGTCCAGGTGGTTTGTGGGAGCAAGAGTAAGATTGCAAACCTGTGGGGAAGCTCTGTTGTGTCTTGCAGCTACTGTTTAAGTGGCCACGTGATTAAGCAGCCATTTTGCCTGTCTGGAAAGATTTGGGACTGAAGCTGCTGGCACCTGGATTTAGGACATTGTATGGATCAGGAGTTTTATATAGTTTGATAGTTGATGCACAGGCTGGGTGTATCTGAGTTCCCCTCATATGAGAGAAGGGTGGGCTGGGAGTACTGCCACCCGGTCCCTTGGAGAGTGACTTCTCCACTGTCTGGGTAAGGGGTGGTTGGCTGGGAGAGTAAAAGAGAACTGTTTTGGGTTCAAGAATTTGGAAGGGAGGTTTGGATGGGGGCCCAGTTCAGGTGGAGGCACTGAGTGTGTACAGAAGTGCCAGAACATGAGCAGAGCCTGTCAGTCTAGATTCTTAAGGTTCTTGGAGATGTAAGGGTGGAAGGGAGCCAGATAGAGAGGAGAGATTGCAGGAAGGGAATTATAGAGGTGATGGACATGGGAAGGTACAGGGCAGGCCACTCTTGGGAATGGCAGCCCTGGTGTTTAATACTAGCATTATGTTCTGGCCCCCTGTGCTTAGCCCAGTGGTTCTCAAATAGTGGGGCGGGCCCCCCAGGGGGGGCGCGAGGCTCCGTAAAGGGGGGCTCGTTTGACCTCGGCAAATACTGTCATATTGGACGCACGTGACACACGCAAAGGACCCGATTGGATAGACAGTCACGCGGGGGGGGCGTGAAATGTTTTCTTCTTCCTAGGGGGGGCATGACAGAAAATAATTGAGAACCACTGGCTTAGCCCCAGGGCCTGGTTTCAGAATCTTGGCTCTAGTCTCCAGTTGCTGCTGATTAAGGTCATCCAAGTGCCAGGGGTGGGTGGGTGAAGCTGTAAGAGTTTGAATGGGGATAAGCCAATTTCAGCTCAATCCTTGTAAGACAGAATGGCTGAGATTTTGGCCCCCCCAGCATTTTGCCCTGTCCCAGGCCAGGCACGCTCAAGAAAATGGGGAGGTAGTTGCAAGCTTTGCTAAACGATTTGGTGAGACAAAATATGTGTGTGAACACCACACATAGTAGAGTAACAATTTCCCCAAAGTTTAGCAAGCTTGCCTTAAAAGTTCCAATTCAAAACAGAGGTCTGAAGAGCGCTTAGGTAAATTCCAAGAGTCAAAAGGTTTGTCAGCTGTCAGTTCCAGAATCAAGATTGTGAGGTTCACAGATCAGGAGTCAAGATGCATGGAGTAGGAGTTAATGGATGATTGTTGTCAACAGAGAGGGTTGATCTCTAGAAACAGACCAGGTGTTGCTTCTTTGGAAGGGCAAGGCTCCTTCCTTGCAAGCAGCCCTGTAGCCTTTGCTCTCCACACTTCTCTGAATGAGGAGCCCTTGAGTTGTGGGGGGGGGGGGAGGAGTGGCAGCTCAGCCTCTTCATCTTCGGAGAGCAGTGGCAGCTGTGCCTGCTGGTTACCTCATCCGCCTGTTCATACAGTAGTCTGATAACTCTGGAGTAGGCTTCTCATTGTCAGTCAGTTTGTCCAGTAGCAGTGGAGCTGGCTCCTCCTCCAGTCTCCTCTCCTGAATTTGAGCTTATCATGATGGTCTGCTGACGTTATCTTTGACTTTGGATGGGTTTGCACTCCCCCAGCCTGAGTTGGGACACAATTTGAGGGTCCTCCTAGACCAGGGGTGTCAAACTTGCAATGTAACGTGATGTATTGCGACGTATCATGACTTTTTTGCCATTGCTGGCAGTAGGGTGGGAGCAGTTTTGCTATGATGCATCCGGCCCGCGGGCCGGCAGTTTGACACCCCTGTCCTAGACTCAGAGCTCCTGCTTGCTATGAGCAAGTGACAGCCATAGCTCAGGGGTGGGTGGGTGGGGGAGGTTTTGCACAGATGCATCTTGGGTACCAGTTGTACCCTTTACTGGACTGCGAGGCCTTGCTCACATCATTCTTGCCTTAGTCTCTTCCCGTTTGGATTATTGCAATGCACTAATGTTCTTGAAGACAAGGACTATTCTTGAAGACACTCAGAAGCTACAACTAGTTCCAAAATACAGTGATGCATACAGTATTCAGTGCTCATAGGTTTACCCATGTTAGATCTTTATTGCACAAGCTGCATTGGCTCCTAGTTTCCTTCCAAGTGCAATTCAAGGTGCTAGTTATCACCTGTAAAGCCTTACATGCTACAGGACCTGGATATTTGTAGGACTGCCTTTCCATAAAAATAGCTGTTCATTCCATTAGACCACATAGGATGGGCATGCTCCACATTTCTTCTGTGAAATCCTGCTACCTAGTGGGACCTGGAAGTGTGCCTTTTTGTGGGTGCTCCTACATAGTTTAATACCTCCCTCCCCCCCCCGCAGCAATTCAGCAGGCCCCCAACTCTTTAAGCCTTTCAGAAGGCCAATAAGACCTGGCTCTTTATTGAAATGGGACAGGATTGAATAGTAGAAAATATGGAATGAAGGGTGTTTGCTATAGGCCATCCCAAGGGGATAATTAAGGCACAGAGACTGTTTTACGACTGTTTTATAGTTATTGATTATATTGTTGTGAGCCTAAGATAGACAGACATATAAATCTCAGATAAAAGGCCTTCTTCTTCAGTGTCTGGAAATTCACAGAGCCTTCCAAATGCAGAGGTCAGAGCTCCAGTACTCTGACACCTGAGCAGACTATCTGGTTGTTGAGCCTTACAAGAAGCAGCATTCTTCAGGAAATCAGTCCCTTCCTGCAAGTCCAGTAATTGATGTGTCTTCTCATGACAGAAGCCAAAACATTTTGATATTTTAGCTTCTGTTCTGAGCAATCTACACAGTCGCTGAACTTCATAGAATCTGGACTTTTCAAAAATTAGCAGCAGCAGTAACAGTGATGTGTCAAAAGGTAAACAGGATGTGTGGCTCTTCAATCGTAAGTAATTAACAATATGATAATGGAGAAAATTGACTTCTGTATGTGTGGACATATGTGCACATATGCATATATGAAGTTTAAACATATGATTGATATGCATGCATGCATGCTCCATCCAACATTCTGTGAACCAAAAATGTTTCCCTTTCCTTTAGATATAATTAGGCAGAGAAATGAAGATTGAGAGATGATCCTTGGAAAGGATCCTTTAGCAGAATTATTTAATCCATGAGCTTCAGACTGATACAAGTGGGTTTATCTATTGATTATGTAGATAAAGGTGAGGGGTTAGTATTCTTGACAATAACATAGGACAGTGATGGCGAACCTTTTAGAGACCGAGTGCCCAAACTGCAACCCAAAACCCACTTATGCATCGTCGGGTGGGTGTGGCCCATTGAGTGGGTGTGGCCCATTGGGTGGGCGTGGCTACGGTGGTAACGGCAGACTGGGTGGGACTAAAAAGTTCAATCAATCAATTCCAACTTTGCAAGATCTTTTTTTTCCCGCGAGAAGTTGAAATTGACTGATTGATTGAACCTTTTTTTTTTTTTTTGTACACGGCGGCAGCGGCATAAAGTGAAAAGGTTTTATAAAACCCAGCTGAAGGCCTAGGACTGGGGCAATGGCACGCGTGCCCACAGAGAGGGCTCTGAGTGCCGCCTCTGGCACTCGTGCCATAGGTTCGCCACCATTGACATAGAATCCTTTATACCTAAATAAACTGATACAGAAACCTGTATACTTATGAACCGCCTTGAGAGAAATGGGTGTTGAGCCTGCCGCTCTAGTATTTTCTGTTCTTGGAACTAACAGCAACCCTGGTTTGGCTAACTATGTATAAGCAGAAGCTGTTTTCACTACAACCATATTAGAAAAGGATTTTTGTTACTTCTCTGGATATTTCCTCTTTCAATTTTGAATATGTTATACATATTATCCATAAGGATGGCAGAAGTAGTGAGAAAAGGATTTGGATGTGAAACTTTGTGTGAAAATAATTAGTGAATATTAGCCATATTTAGGAGTCTCCAGCTTGTAAATAATGTGACCCTGCAAACTAATTCTACCATAAATAGTGTATACTTGCAGTTGTAGGAGCAGCTACATCTTCATTTAGGCTGCAGTTAAGTGGATAATGTCAGTTCTTTATTGAATATATTGATCCAACATCCTTTGTTGGTAAAAGTATTTGGACTATGTAGATTTGATAACTGGTGCAATTCCTTTAGAGACAACGACTTTATCCAGATGTTTCCTTTACCTGGTGATCAGTCTTGCATATTGTCTTGGAGCTAATTTGGTTTATTCCTCTTTTCAGAACAGCTTCTACTCAGTGATATGTGACGATACTCTCGTGTGAACTACTCACTTCAAGCCATGCCACATTTCAGTTGAGTTAAGGATGATAGGTTTGACTCAGCATTTCAAAGTGAGAAATTTCTTGTTCTTCAGCACAGCTCTGTTTTCTATTTACTTTTGTGTTTCAGGATCATAAAAGTATTACATGGCCCACATTCATTTAAGCTTGAATTCACAGGCTTGATACTCTGGTCTAGAATTTGCTGATACGACCCGTAATCCATTGTGAGGGATTCATTTCAACCTGAGGTACAAATATTTTCCTTTATTGGAATCCATTGTTCCCTCAATGATTGCAAACTATCCAGATCCTGAGGATGCAATGTTTTTCATTCTGCAAACTGTAAAAATCCACATTAATGTCAAAAAGTTTAATTTTTGCCAGATCTGTCCACAAAACAATTCCAGTAGCCTGCTGGATCAGCCAGATAGTCTTGGCAAGCTTGAGATAAATGGCAGTATCCTTTTGGAGGAACAGAGGTTTTTCTCCTATGTACACTACTCTTGTTCAGTGTTTTCCTTACACTAGATTGATGAATTCAAGAGTAGCCTGCAGAGGAATACTATATGCCTTTCTCTGGAGTGATTTTTGTTGAACAGCCACTCTACAAAAGTAAGAATGAAATTGCATTTTCTCTATTTTGTGGACTGCCTGCTTAACTGAGTTGACTGAAGCCAAAGTTTTGGCAATGGTTTTTTGTCCGTTTTAAGCCTTATGAGTATCAATAACCATTTTTATAAAGTCTAAGAGAGTTCTTCAAATTCATTTCCATCGACCTGTCTTGGGAAGAATAGATTCTAATGGGGACAACTTGTGCATGTGTGTGTTTGTTTTTATCGGGAAGGTCCTCTCTCAAACTGAAAATAGGTCTTATTGACTGGAATGTCTGATTCAAATTATCCCTTAAGAAAGCTAATTTATTTCTAAGGCTTCGTACACTTTTCCAGCAAAAGTAGTCAGTAAATGTTGATTGCATTCAATATAGATGTAATGCAGTACACCGTTTTTATGTGTTGCTTGTTTAACCATTAACTCTTATATTTTTATAGGATTTAGATGAAGGTCTATCAGAAATGCAGATAGCTCTTAAGTGTTTACAGATTTTTTTTCTCATCACTGTCTAAAAAGGATATTTCCTCCTTGTTCTTTCATATTGGACAAACTTTTGTTTTGGTAGTAACAAAAATTGAAAGTTGTCAGCCACAGTCACTTCCTTCTGCTCTCTACCTCAAGCTAACATTATTCTTCTCCAAGTAATTTGCTCGCAGAGCCATAAGCAGCCTAAATGCTTCAAGTTTCTTTCCTCTTGATTCTTACTTCTGTCTTCCTATTATAATCCCCTTTCATCACCTTGCTTTCAATCTAACCTTTCTGGATTCCATTTATAGAATTCTGTTACATTTAGGTTTTATCTACAATATCAATAAGCTGTTAAAAGACTTTTTAGCATAGCCTTTTCTAGCCATATGCTGTCCAAATGAGCTAGTTAGAGTCCTTTAATTCTCAGTCGGCAATACCTTTCTGCTGATTGGGTATTGTGAGAGTTAAAAACTGCTACATTGACAACAAGTTGAATAAGAGTCACCAGTGTTTATGAGCAAGTCCCGGAATTATGAATGTTGCTGCACCACAGCAATCAGTTCACCCTTAATGAACGACTGCAGTGGCATTGCAACATTCACCATGGTTATTCCCTCCCTAACTCCCCCCTGCCCCCGATCTCCCTAGGCACCAGGCCTTTAATACTCACCCTGAAAAATTGAGATTCTTCGCTTTCTTGGCTACTCCAGGCCTTTGGTGCATTTGCAGAGAATGAAGGCCTAAAGTAACACAAGATCATGTGAGATCAGTGGCGTGAGATCTCATGCTACTGATTTCACCTGATCTCATGCTACTTTAGGCCTCTGTTCTCTGAAACAGAGAACAGAACCAAAACCAGGGGATGCTTCCGCGTGCTTCTGGACGCTGGATCCAGGCATCGGTGGCTTTTTCCAGGCCGCTGCCACTGGGATCTGAGGCCGGAGGATGCTTCCTCTGCTCCCCAGAGGCCCAATCAGGGCGTTGGAAACCATTTCCTGGTCGCAGCCGCCTGGAAGTGAGCCCGGGGAATGCTTCTGCATGCCTCCGGAGGCCCGATCCGCGTGTCAGAGACCTTTTCCAGGCTGCTGCCACCCGGAAACGGGCCTCTGGAGGCATGTGGAAGCGTCCCCCAACCTCAGATCCCAGTGGCAGTGACCTGGTAAAGGCCTCTGACGCCTGAATCCAGCCTCCAGAGGCATTTGGAAGCATCCCTTGGCCTCGGAGCCAGGCAGCAGCAGCTTGGAAAAGGCTCCGATGTTCCATCACTAGGCCCTCCATGGCCTTCCCCACCCTGAGATACCTCATGTGCAGTTAACAAACCACGCATTTGCCCATGCATGGGCGAAAGCAGGGAATCAATTGCGTTCAAGGTACGAGATTCACTCCCACGAATGTTCGAGTTAAGAATGGAATGGGCAGGCTCCGTTACTTTTGTAACTCGAGGACTACCTGTATTGGCAGCCTGGAGATGGTTTAGAGCAGTGTTTCCCAAACTTGACAATTTTAAGGCATGAGGACTTCAACTCCCAGAATTCCACAGCCAGCAACGCTGGCTGTGGAATTCTGGGAGTTGAAGTCCACATGACTTAAAATTGTCAAGTTTGGGAAACACTGGTTTAGAGGATGACAACAAAGATGGTACAAGGAGTTGAGGGTGTGCCCTATTCAGACATACTGAAGAATTTGGGATATTCAGTAAGCCATATATAGGCACATAAGCCATATACAGGTACATGTAGAAACCACAGGGAAGAGGACATGAACTATTTTTCTATTGCCGTATGGAGTAGGACTAGAAATAAAGAGTATAAGTTGCAACTGCCTAGATTTCATTTCAAGATAAGGAAAAAAATTCTGAGAGATCTGTACAATAACGGAATAGTCTATCTATAAAGATTGTGTAGGCACTATCTCTGGAGATTTTAAAGAATATTTTAGATAGTACCCTCTCTTTCTCGTGGATGGGTTAAATGGTTTTCCATACATTGTGGGTTAAACTACATAACCCCATGGGCCATTCCAGCTCTACAATTCTATGATCTTTGTCAGGAAGGCACGTGGTTCAAAAAAGTAGGAATCTTAGGAAGTCTAGTTTTAAGAACAGTAATACTAGAATCTTAGGAAGCTTAATACACATGTGTAATCTTAGGAAGATTAGACTTCCTGCTAATTTTTTTTGCCAAACTTATTGCTTTCCTTTGCTTTCAAATCCATGCTGAATGTTCTTGATTTTCTTTTAGTGCCATTATTCCTATACCCTGGATTACTTTTACAATACAAATCATTTACTCATTATAAAGTTCAGTGGCTGCTATTCAGGCATCAAGGTCGATCTGTCTTCTTTGTCCTCTTTTGTTGTCTGCCTCAATGCTTATAAGTCCCTAAAGCTTTTATTCCCCTCCCCCTCCCATTTTTATCCTCCCTGCTCTCTTTCCATTCTTGACAAAATGCGTGTTTTGATCATGTCTGAATGTAAATACTATATTTTTTTGTCTTGTCTTTGCATTATCGGAAAACATCATGTCCCTTTGCAGATTACCTTGATTTGTTGTTGTTTTTTAAATCGGACATACTTTTCCTGTATTATTTCAACTTAAACACTGCCCAATTTCAATCAACTGGGCAACTCACAACATAAAAACAAAACAAAAAATAAACAATCTAGATTAAACACAGCAATAAATATGTGGCAGACAATATCACAAGAACAAGTATATTGTTCTTAACATTCCATTGTCTTGTATCATCCTTTTAAAGACAACATCAACAACTCAGTCAAGGGGGGTTGAGTTTTTTCTATGTTATGCAGCATCTTCTTCTATTGTATATTACAGTATGAGGGATATTGGTAGTGAATAAAATGATGAACTGTACTTAGTCCTCATTTAACAACCACTCATTCAACAACTGATTGAGTTACTAAGTTACTATGGTGCTGGTGAGTGGCAGTTAACTACCAGTCCTCAGAATTCTGGCTGACCCAGCACCTGCAATCACATGATTGTAATCTGGGCATTTGGCAACCGGGTCGCAATTACATGGTTACAGCATCCTGCAGTCAGAAAACCATTTGTTGACTCTCCCTGCTGACTTTCATCAAGCAAAATCAATGGGGATGTTGGCAGGGAGGCTCACAAGTTACTCTGGTAAGTCACTTGCATCCTCTCACCTGGCAGCAGTCACCCTCTGGCCCAGCCTCACTCAACCTGCGCTTCCAGGCTTCCCACACAGCCCCGCTGCCTTGGACCTGCTATGCTTGACCCATGTGTTGCAGTATGCCTTATCGGTCTGCTGTCCTGCTTGCAGTCCACCTGGGACTTGCTTAACAGTGGGAGCCAGGATTGCTGTCATTAAACGATGTCAGATGACATCACACTTTCTGAGTGCATCAGCTAGTTATAGAAATTAACTATTGTTAACTGAAGACTACCTGTGGGCTAATACCTAATTAGAAAGATATACTGTATGTAGGAGCTTCATTTGTATATAGTTAATTCCATGGATAAAAGAATGGATAGTTCATTGTCAGGCACGAACAACCAGACCTCATGTGTAGAGTTCAAACTAGTTACTTTATTATTCTATGCTTATTCCAGCTTTTGGTGGGAAAGACTAGATAAGGCTCAAAGACATTCAGGGAGGTTAGACTTTGCCCTCTTGTGTTTATGTAACAAGTCCAAACTAATTCCCTGCTTGAGCCCTCCTCTGACTAGGTGGGTTGCTCTCCAACAGACATAGTTCCCAAAACATGGGCATTTGCTCTGGGCTAGAATATACTTTGAAAAATGAAGTCTCCATGTTGAAAAGATCCACAATTTCATGCCATTGGGGCATAAGAAAACTATACAATTATTTCCTTATCTCTTTCACCGCTAAAATTGGCAGTAGCATCATCCATCTAACTTAGATACTGTATACCCATATTGTAGCATCATATTTGGAAATTACATCCCTGAGTAATGGGAGTGTAGCCACAGAAATTTCCTGGGCAGCATTAACTACACAAATCCAGTGAATCACTTGCATGATGTTCAGGACAGTGTTTAAGAAATGTACTTGTAGCTATTGAGTGGAAGGATTTTCCAGAAAAACTGTCGCAGGTATTTATTTTGAGAAATGCCAGGCAAATTAACTCATGATGACATATAGGAAGATTATTTTGAAAATTTGAACAGATGTTTAAAATGCTAGTCAGAATCAAATTGTTTCCTTTTTATGATTAAATTGAGAGTTAAAGCCAGTGGCAACTTAACATGTATCTGGAGAATGGAAGGGTTTTTTTTTTCCTGCATCACATTATGATTTGTTTTCTTTCTTCCCTTTCTTTTTAACAGGAAAGCTCATAAAACACTACTGGTGACCTTCTGTGCTCATGAGGTGAGGATGCTAAATTTCTAGATGAAAAATTATTTGACCCAGAAGGAGAATTTGAATCAGAAGTAAGGATCTTCATCATGCTGTATTACAAACAACCAAAGGAATGTTATCAACGGCCACTGTTAATAGGTTTTAAAACAAGTTTCTATTTGGGTCATTTCTTATTTGCTGTATTTTCATTGCAGAAACTATGTAACTGTCCCTACCATATAGTTAGGTTTCATATAAATGTGAAATACCCACATTATTTTACCAGTGGATATGGTTCTTGGCATAAATGCTCTCATCATGTTCCCCCCTCTGCTCTTCCAGTGGGCATGATCAATCTATCAGAAGCTAGAGAAGCAGAATAGAAGTGCAGGTATTCTCCATCTTGCATGCCCCCCCCTCCCAAACAATCTGACTCCCCAGAGGAATCCCCAGGCTGTTTTGTATTTTCCAAGCTGATGAAGAGGACAGAAGATAGTCCATCGTTTGTATTTTGAGCTGTATGCTGCTTAGAATGTCTCTTAAAGTTCAACTCAATACTTGAAATGAAATGTCCCTCAGTAAAGGATGGGTTAAATCCTGACAGAATCTTTTTCCAGCTGAAATGTGTCGATGTTTTTCATACTCTAAATATTGCTAGTGTAGTGGGACAATTCTACCATAGTTATTGTTTTAGAAATCAGTCCTGTTTGTGGATCTGTACACAGCTCTTTCTGACATTTTTCTGTGCTTCCTTTCCACACTGCCAGACGATATGAGAAGGCCCATATTGTGTAGGAGAGAGTCTCCTGCATCTTCTACCTTCCAAACACTGAAGTGAGGGATAGTCACAGCAGTAGCTCCTTCTCTGTGCACAAGACTGTTGTGCTTCCTTGGCTCTACCTGAAGGAACAGTGCTGCTGCATTAGCCCTCATCTCATCAGTGGAGGCCTCCATTACTGAGGAAGAAAATTTGTTACATATGCCGTAGCAGCATAAATATAATGAATCTTACAATCCTTTCATTAAAATAATTTTTCTCTTTTTTTTTTTGTAGGAGCATGCTTCTATTTTTTTGTCCATCTAATATATCTTTTTAGAACAAAGTATAAAATGCATTGTTTGTGTGTTGAGTGTGTCGCTGGCTGTACAATCTGTGGAAAAAAACTGAATTCAAGTTAGATTAATTTATCAATTATTTAATTTGTGAACTGTGTGTGTTTATATATGTCTGTTAAATTTTTTCAAAGGGAAGAACTTTATTAATAAAGTACAGCACCTGAACAATTTTTTTATTTGGTAAGCCTGTTTTTTTAAAAAGACATTTCAATGTGTTTTAGTGTTAGGATATCAAAATTGTCTTATTAGGAAAGTTTAATGAAATCCTTCTTTTCTTTTAAATATCTCTAAGGCAGTTCTTACTTTCCTTAGGTATTTTCCATCTCTTGTGTTCACTGGCTGCTGGTGACCAGAGCGGCAGCATGGGAAAATATGCCATTCAAATACCAGGCCTTCCCAGTCCTGTACTTTTTGTCCAGTCATATAGGAACAAAAGCTCCAGTAGGAGCAGAGTTGGAGCAAAGGAGAGCTTCAACTGCCATTTTTCTACATGGTACTGTTTCTCTTGGGAAAGGGCTTTTAGATTACAACATAAATATGGTGGCCTTGAGAGTCAGTGATACTTCTCTTAATATGGTGACATTTTTGCAGAGCTAATAAAGGCAGTCAGATCTTACACCCTTGCCTCTGAGGGAAACAGTAGAGACAACACATCTATAGCAACTACCCTGATATATTGAAAAGTTGGAAATACCATATTTTTATAAATCAGGGCTAGCAAATTTATTTTCTTACTATAGTCTTTGTCAGGTACAGAATTTGCTATCATTTCAAATGATGTATCTTTTCATTTTATACTATTTTATACTGTGATTCATGGTTATCTGTATCCTAGGAAATAACAATTGTTTAAGATACCACTGTAATCTGACAGTGTCACTGTTTAATCATATTGATCATATGATGGCAGGGTATTGTTTGACTTAATATATGTAAATCATACATATTGCAATATAAATATTCCTTGAACTTTCATACTAGTTAGCTACACCAGTAGTCCCCAACCTTTTTAGCACCAGAGACGGTTTCGTGGAAGACAATTTTTCCACGAACTGGGAGGGAATGGTTTTGGTTTCACTCACTTTCCTACTGCTTACCTCCAGCTGTGTGGCCCGGTTCCTAATGGGCTACGGACTGGTACCGGTCTGTGGCCCGGGAGTTGGGGACCCCTCAATTATACATTTGAATAAAGAACAGTATGAAAACTTGAATTTTATATTAATTTAAAGTATCTCTTAATACTTCATAGCCTGAATATTATTTTTAAATGTGTACATATAAACATATGTGTGTAATATAGATGTTCTTGTCAGGTCCAGAATTAGTAAAACTGCTGAAGATTTGGAAGATAACTATTGTCTGTTAAATTATGTTTGGAATGACCCAGAGTTCACAAAATTAGCCCCTTGCTATTGAAGATATGAAGTTGCTATTTTCAAATCTTTTGCTCTTATGTATGCATTCAATTCTTTGAAAGAGGTACAGACTAGGATAGCGGTTCTCAACCTTTTTATACGGCGACCCCCAGTCACACGGACGCGCCGCGCATGCGCATGCGCAGCGCCACCCCCTGAGGGGGAAAAATGGCGGATCACATTGTTTGGCGACCCCCGTAAAATGGTCGTTCGACCCCAAATGGGGTCGCGACCCATAGGTTGAGAACCGCTGGACTAGGAGAATGTCCAAAATCCTGCCATTGTGAATTCAGATGTAACCCAAACTAAGCTGAATCTTTTGCAAATAACTTTTGCCTCAAAATCTTTTGCTTCAAGATGCACTTAACAACTTGTATTTCAAGATAAGGAACATATTTCAAAATATACCTCTGCTGATAAATTACGTTTAAAATATTATTTAAATATATATTCTATGCAAATCTTTCCATGCATGGAAATTTTAGGCTTATGAAAGAGACATAGTGGTGAAACACAGAAATAACCAGATCTATCCACTCCAGGTGTGGTCTTTTTTCTGCAGCTGTAGTACATCACTTCTTAAATTGGTATTTTGTTTCAAAAGTTTACTCCCTTTCCCATATACTCCGTGTTGACTCCTTGCTTCCCTATTAATATAGCTTGCGAGTTTTACGCAAAAAACACTGAATTTTATTTGTAAGGTCTTCATATACAGCACTGACTGATAACAAATCTTGAGAGAGATGGGCAGTTCAGAAATGTGAAAATTAAATTAAATAAATAAATGGCTGAACTGGGAAAGTATTTTCTGAGAACCATACTCCTAAGCAAGCTGTTTTTGAGATAAATCTTAAACACTCTTGATTTCCAGGCATTTTGTTTGCGTTGTATTCAGCAACTTTAAGCCTACTATTTGGAGATAACAGCAAATTCTAAAGTCTTAAGTGGAAAATTAGAACTCAGATAATTTTGAATCCTGATCCAGTTTGAAATGTCCCTGGGCCAGATACTATTGAAGTAAAATGCTTTATTTTTCTTCAATACTAGTCATCGTAATTAGGATTTGAGGAAGTTGTGATTCCACAACATCTGAAGGACCCTACTGGCCCTCTTTGATCTTCAGCAATCTATGATATCTTTCTGGACTGTTATAGCAGACATGTTAAACTCGCGATGTCGCGTGATGTTGCGCAACGTATCGGAATGGTTTTGCCATTGCTGGCAATGGGGTGGGTGCGGCTTCCGGATGATGCGTCCGGCTTGCGGGCCGGCAGTTTGATACCCCTGGCTTACAGGGATTGGGAGTAAGAGGCATTATTCTGTGGTGGTTTTGCTCCTTTCTAAATGGCCAATTCCTGCTAGTGTTGACAAGACCAGAGAGATCAAGCCAAAAACCTTGAACTGATGGTAAACCAGATTCTAAAATAACAGATTCTTGTAAGCCCTGTTGTCCTTACTTCCTTTATCTTATGGTCCAGTGAATTGGGGAGTTATCTGATCCGCTTCTATGTATTTTCTGCCTCTTGTGGATTTAAGGTATGTTGCACCTCTTGTTGGTAATGTATTTTGCAAAACTGTCATAGTCTTCTGTTTTTACTCTTTACATCTGGAGGGTGCCACAAGTTTGATGCTCTCTCATCTTGCTTCACATTCATATGAGGCTCCTGGATGATGTTATCTATTGGCTTCAAGGTCAGGTGTCAGTACACTAATGGTACCCATCTGTATATCCCAACTCCTGGCATTCCAAGTGATGTTAATAGATCATATCTCAGCACTTGGAGGCTATTGGCATGTGAATGGGGAAGAAACAGAATCAGGTTTAACTTTAAGCAAGAGTGGGGGGCTTTACATGGTGGGAGAATCATTGTCGGGATTTTCTACCTACAGTTATAGACAATATCGCATTTCCTCATTTGAGATTGGTATGCTTTCTGAGGATTGTCGCAGGCATTAAGGTGTCCCTCAAAGAGAAAAGAGGAAAATGTAGCCAGGAAGGCATTCGCACAGATTTGTGTTGTGCACAAGTTGAACTGTTTCTGCACTGGATGTCTGCAATCATTCATGCTTGGTCACTTCATTTGTGGACCATTGCAATATATTCTAAATGGGGCTGCCTTGAAGATCACTCAAAAACTGCAGCTGATTCAGATATGCACAGTAATGGGCAAGGCTTAGTATGTCCATATAATAAATTCTACAAGCTGCATTGGTTACCAATAAGCTTGGGGTACAATTCAAAGTGTTAATTATAACCTGTAAAGCCATGCATGCTGATTATTTGAGGGATCATCTGCCCCCATGGTTTCTGCTCATCCTATGTGCTCAGAATTGGCATGTTCTGGGTCCTATACATGTCATCTGATAGATCCAGGAAGCAGGTCTCCTCTGTAGTGTCTGCCTTCTTGGATAATATCCCCTAGAATCTCCACCCTCCTTTCAATGAGCCCTTAGGACAGTGGTTCTCAACCTTTTTAATGCCGCGACCCCCAACTGGTCATAAGTTGAGGACTACCCAACCGATCATAAGTCGAGGACTACCCAACCGGTCGTAAGTCGGGGACTTTCCCTGCCAGGAGTGCCGCACATGCGTGGTGCCGCCCCCTGCGCCGGCCGAGGCATAGCTGGCGAGGGGCAGCGATGGCGCAGGCCGACCACCAGCTGGGCCACCAGCTGGCCCAGCCCAAGGGAGGTAAGGCACCTGCCGGCCCCACGCATGCCAGCAACCCTCCCTGCGCCCGCCAGCCTCCCACCTCCCACCCCTGGCCCTCTTTTACTTACTTTTTTAGTACTTGCTCAGCAGGGAGGGGTGGAAACTTCCAGACAACTCGCCTTCGCTGCAGACAACTTGCAGCACCGTTTGCAGAATGGGACTTTTGGCGGGCTCAGCAGGGCAGAGACAGCCTGGACAATTCCTATTGGCTTTTGAAAGCCAATAGAATTAGACTCTATTCAAGAGATTCTATTCTATTGGCTTTCAAAAGCCAATAGAATAAAAGGGAGTAGCACAGCTAAGGAAAAGGGGAAAGAAATGGTGGACTGCGTTGTTTGGTCCCAACCTACAGGTTGAGAACCGCTGCCTTAGGATCTGGCTCTTTTGTCAGGCTTTTTGACTCTTTGAAAATGTGATTGTTAGAAAAATGTGAGGGTTTTTCTCTGAGTTTAACATTTCTTTTGTTGACTGGCTTTTGTCTTTCCCATTTTTATTTCTGTTTGCCTCTCAAAACCATCTGGATTTATATTTATTTATATTTATTTAATTGATCAATAAATTAAATATCAATATGAAATCACTTCAAACCTTAATCATATTACTAAATTTAGACCATTGTTCCATTTTATCATTCTTAAAATATGAAGATATTTTTAAAAACCAATAAGGAGCGCATAACTTGAATCCATTCCTTAATGTTAAAGAGCTATACATTTTTTGTATCTACATAAATACTATTTGGCAAACTGCAGGCTTCATATAATTGAAATTCTTCAAGAAAGGTCAAATTTTATAATGTAGACAAAATGTATGACAAAAATTTCTTCATTAAAAAACCCAATTGTAGGCACACAGTCTATATACACATTGTGTACACACACACATACACACCCATGCCTTTTTAACTGTAAGAAATCTTGCCTGTCACAATAAAGTATATCCACCAATGAGATTACAGCATACAAACCAACTAAACCTTAATGCTGACTGGCTGCCATATCTGATTGCACAATGTGTCCACCCAACAATGATTTCTACTTCATT